CACAGGCTATCATAATCCTTGGCTAAGATTATAATACATCCATGCACTGTGCTTCGAGCTCGGACCCTCGTTGCTCCGTAAATTAATATTATACTTATTTGGCTCAATGGAAACGATGGGGTTTTCTTTTTTAATCATTCTTTAGCTGCCGCTTCCATTGTCTCCGCAGAAGTAATGTAAAAGCTGAATATTTTTCTCATTCGTAATTCCTTTGTGCGACATAATTGTGGATGCGAACATATTTCTCGTGAAGGCTATTTAGAGAGTTTGCTCAGGGTTCGGCTATTTACTTGCTATACCCTAAGCCCACAGAAATTGCTTAAGAAGAGTATAATGTTTCAGTGCAAATGTATGTAACAAGCCAAAGGTGTATATCTATTCTTCAAGTCGATCTAACCATGTCGATCTTTCAGTTCGTCTGTCGATCTCAAAAAAGACTTTCAATTTCGAAATATACATTCCGATACCATATTGTCTATATAATGCTGATCAGGGCTCGTTCGAAAATCTCCTTCAATTTTCATAATATCGATAAGTATCGATTTATTAAGAACTGTTCACTCTTCGAATACCTTCATATCAAGCCCATAATTGGCACAAGAAAGTCTCTCTTCAAGTATCTGTAAGCGTTGAAAATTTTAGGCTACAAAATATCGAAGCTCATCAGGAATGCAGAGAAAAGAGGCAGCACAGACGCAAACCCAATCAGGAGTAGGTAAGGCCAGCTTGAGGGTATCTTCTAGTCGGACACTCCCGACTAGAGAACTCTTAATTTTTTTTTTTTTTTTTTTTTGGAGCTGCATTTGAGCGTTGTCCTTGTGGCTGCTGTGGCTGTTACTCATCCCCATATAAGCACACACACACACTCTGCCTCTCTCTCCCTCACACTCTTAATGAATAAAAATGACCGCAACGCAACGTCCATTGCTTGTTTGCACTTTGTACCTCTGGGTGGCAACAAACTTTTTGCATTTTGCCATTTTTATTTTGTTTGTTTTGTTGTTGTTGTTGTTGTTGTTGATTTGCTGTGCTTCGTTTCGAGTGCGGTTTTTGCGCTCTTGAAGTGCTTAAAGATAGCCTCTGTCTAGGACACGCAAAGCCAGCGCCAGCGAAAGTTAATTGCTTAATAGTCGAAACATCGATAAATCAAATAAATATGCGCGTAAGCATAGAGCAGAGCGGCGACAACAAAGCGCACAATGAATGCCAAAGGGAAATTGTGTCGATGGCAGAGCATTTGCTTGCGGCAATGTGGCAAGGTGGCAGGTTGGCAAGGTGGGCCAAGTGGGCCAAGCCGGCAAAGGCTTTGGGTGGGCTGCAAATGCAAACAGACTGATTGATGGCGCCAAGTGATTTATTTATGTTAATGCGCATAACAGCAGCAACAACGAACCAAATCTAAGTAGCTACCTGAGACTTGACGCCCACCACCTCACCGCGCATCCAACCAAACACCTGCCATTCCCATTGACCTCTGTGCGCCATTTCACCTGCGACAAGCGCTGTTGTACGTGATTTGAGGCATTTGTTGTTGTTGTTACTACTGTTGTTGTTGTTGTTGTAGTTCTGTGGCAGCGACGCTGACAATTAATCAACTTGGTGCGTGCGTGGAAGGCGTAACGGAGGCGAACGATAACAGTCAGCGAGGGAGACGCGCGGCCCGTGCGACAATCATCATCAATGTGAGGGGACGGGACGGGGGGACGAGGGGACGCGTGTACCCAAACCCAGACAGCACTATATTACATCCAATTCGTAAACCCCATTTGGCTGGCTCTGACCCAGCGAGCTGCGAATTGATTTCATTTCTTTATTTATTTATGTTGCAACAACCGAAAAACTTGTCTAAATACTTGAAATATTCGCTGTGCACACAGTTTCATTTGAGCGATTTCCAAGCATTTCATCAACTGGCTGGCCTAACACCCTCTCCCCCTTTCCCCCCCCCCCTCTCCTTCCTATCACTAACCCAACAGCGCCAAGAAAAGGAGAAAAAAAAGAATACAAAAAAGAAAATATAATGTATTTCTGTTGCAATCAAAGAGTTATCACTATGCAGATACCCTGTACTCTAATAATATATTAAAATATTTCTCATTGATGCGCAGATTTAAAAAAAATAGGTCGGAATTAGAAAAGTTTCTTATATAATATTTAAATAGTGTTATATTATAGTACATCGTATTCAATCTAGATAATCCCATTTCTGCTTTAAAGTCATGGATAAAATATCATTATCATAACACGTCCTAAAAAAAAACACTAAATCAAAGATGATCAGACCAAATACTCTATAGATACAAATCAAGGACTATATAATACATATATTAAAACTTCATGTACCCTTTCGTACCCTTTGATGGGTGCAGGGTATTAAAAGGAAGAAACTGGCAGAGCAACAACTTTGGCACAGGCGACAAGAAACGCATCAATGAATTTTAATGCGCGCCAGGGGAATGTTCAATATTAATCAGACAAATGGACAGAGTGAAGAATGATTCTTACTTACTTTTAATACTTGCTCAATTGTTATTGGTGTTGTTGCATTCCTTTCTTTTTTTTTCCTTTCTTTTTTTTTTTTTTTTTTGTGTTTTGCCTCCTTCTGGCTATTGTTTGTCTTAGCTATGCGAAAAGGTGTGCATAATAAATTTGGGTTTCGGCTTAAATATAAGTACTGTTGAAATTGGAGATTGATTTATTTACCCAATAAGCTGGAGCTGCAATAAAAAAATGTCAGAAACGTAATCAGAGAAATAAATTGATAATTTAACTAAGATATTTTTAAATCTAAATTAGGAAATAATTTTCGTGTTGGTTATTCTAGTAAGACTTTAAAGTTGATTTCGCCATTTTCCAGAGGAAGGCAAATCGATTCGATTAGATTGAATAGATGAATAAATAAAATGCCACATTTGTAAGCCCGTTAAATCGATTACGTTAGAAACGCATTTGTCGCCTGCGCCTGTCCATGTGCTTGTTCTTTGTGCGTTGCCCAGGCGCCGCTTTGGCTGCACAGCAATTCGTAACGTAAGCAGCAGCAGCAGCAGAAGTCGCAGCACCAAAAACAACATCAATAAGAAATATATTTTAAAGATACTATGCTGTCCACATTGTTGGGTACTGCCTTGGAAATTAAAAAAAAATAAACAATTTTCGACACAGGCCTGTTATTCCAAGCATTCTTAGAGAGCTTTTGGTTTCTCTTAACTAACTTGACATAAGATGCCATTTTCTATTTAACAACATATTTTAAAAGCTGCAATGCACAATATCTGCCCACGTCTCAAGTTACATTTATAGATATTCGAAAATGAGTTTCACGTTTTTTTTTTTTTAATAATATTAAACAAGTATAATTGAACCAAATCTGAATATAAGCGAAGTACAAATATTAACATTGACTATGGTGCGACTCACACAAATACATGGATGCAATTGTAGTCAAGTGTACCTATTCAAACGAGCCGCGGTGTTTTTAGCATGGCGTTTGCTGCTGGTAAGCTCTCCTGGCGTTATGTTAGTTTTTGCCCCGCAGCTTATGCCGCAAAACTTTTTTGCGCGTCTGCCGCTCTGTCGCCCGCCTTGGCTTTGCTATGCTCTGCCGCGATTTGCTCTGCTGCTGGCGCTGCTGCTGCTGCTTTGGCTTTGCCTTTTATCGTGACCTTTGCGACGCGTCGCGACGGGCAAACGATGACGTCGCCGTCGCTGCCGTTTTTACTGTTGCCTTTGCTGTCGCTGACGTCCCGCAGCAATAAAACTGATGTCACGTTTTATGACGCCGTTGATGAGTCGTTATCTTTGATTTCGGCACGCAGCCCCCGTCGGCCAGCTTCGGGCTGACATCCCGTTAGGCTGTCAAATTGTTTGTGCCTTCTGGTCAAGTTTACACCGCGTCTGCGATTCGCCCAACATTCGCCTCAGGTGCTGCCGCGTCTGCGGTCGTTATTCGTTTTATTTTTCGCTGCTTCTCGGTTTTTTAATTTACGCCCAGTTCAATTTGCGCTTTTTGTTTTTATCGCAGGCTCATAATTTATTGCGCGTTTTTTTTTTTATGCTCTTTGTTTTTGCTGGCATTTGCGAATTGAATAGCAAAGAGAGCCGACCGAAACGCACAGCATTTGCCGTTATTTTTATTGTAAGGTGCACACGAGCAATGGCCGCCACCTCGTTTCGGATTAGCTTTTGTTTATGAAAGCTTACAGTTCTTTTTTTTTGTTTACTGTTGTTGTTGTTGTTGTTGTTGTTGTTGTTGTGTTATTACTGCTTATGCTTTTGTTTACGACGACTTCAGACAACTATAAAATACAGCTGCGCCCCACCCCACCGAGCGCATGTCGAGATTCGTTTCAAGGCAGCTTCTGTGGACGATGCACTCCAAGCATATGCAAAATAGTCATTGAACATTATTGTAATTCCCTGGTTCTTTTCGAAAGGTACTAGAAAAGCTTCTACAGTTGAATTTTAAGTATATTTTGTGAATCGTTTTTCCTCCGAAAGAAGGGAAGAGCAAAACTGACTGACTGCTCACATATTTTGTGATTTCAACGGCATTAGCCTCTATCTTTAACTAGTTACAAATTTACATATTTAATAGGCTAGCAGAAGATTACTCAATTACCCAAATATGAGCAACCCATGGTTAATTGATGCTCTTTATTTAATCTATGGCGCTACCGCCCAATTGATTGCCGTCAGTCATTATGAATTGAAGTTTAAACAAAGCGCGAAAGTCAGAAATGCAGCCATGCTATTATTAAATCGATATAATATAATCGATATTTTAGCGCATTGCAGAACCATTTGAGCTAACAGTGTCATTTCGGGCTTAACAGCGGATGTGCTGGTTAACAGTCTTGCTTGTTAAGCTATTAACGAAATGATTTTATTTTATAAAATACGTCAATTTCTTCTCGTGGTTAATGCATTAGGAGGCGCAACTTTGGCAAGAGAGTTTATTTGATGCAACTGTAAACGCAGCAAATATCTGAATATATCGATAAATGGGAACGCCTATCGATGCTAACACTCGAATACGCATCCTCTTCAGCTGTGTGCGCGTATACGTGTGTCTGAGCGCGTGTGTGTGCGTGCATGTGTGTGCGTGCGTGTGTGTGTGTGTGTGTGTGTAAGCGCCTCCGTGCAATCTATTAAGTGTGGAATAGCAAATATCAATTGAATATAGAGAATAAATCAAACGAGCGTCCGACCGCTGGCGTTCGCCCTAAATAATTGTTGTTTCTAGTGCGATTTACGTTGCTGTTACTGTCGCCGTCGCCGTCGCCGTCGTTGTCGTTGTCGGTGTTGTCGCTATATGCCTTAATGTTTTTGTTGTTTTGTTGTTGTTGTCGCTGTGTATCTGTTGACGGCAACGCGCAACGGCCAACTGATGAATTTCAATTGTTTCATTAACGGTACAGAAAGCAGAATAAAGAAAACCAAATTTATGCGCGCGCCGCCCGCCCCAAACGACGCCCCGCCACCGTTACCATTACCGTCATCGTCACCGTCGCCGTCGCCGTCGCCGTCACCGTCACCGTAACCCAATCCGCCCCAGCCGTTACCAAAAGGCGAACAGCAGCAATAGCAGTTGCTATACACGCCACGCATACACGGACACACGCCCCCCAGAGTCCCGGATCTGCAAACAGAAAAAAAATATGTCCTCGAACAGCTTTGGCAGCGGTGCTGCAGCTGCAGCTGCGTTAACCTCGGCCTCCGCGGCGGCCGCAGCGCAGCAGCGGCGGCGGTTAACAGTGATTTGTGGCGCGAATGCGTTGCCTGCTGGTCCGCTGCAAGGTTATACCCGCCGACCACAAGGCCGCCCTGCCCGACGCCGAGATACGCATACTGGCCATGACATTACGTGACGGTGTGCTGCTCTGCAATCTGGTCATACACCTGGATCCCAGCAGCATGGACGCGCGCGAGTTCAATCGCAAGCCCCAAATGGCCAGGGAGCCCTGCCCCCCCCCCCCCCCCACCCCCCCCCCCCCCCCCCCCCCCCACGGGTTAACGAAGCAAACGTTATAATGTGCCGTGTCTCGCTTTCAGTTTCTGTGCTGCAAGAAACATCAAGCTGTTCCTGGACGTGTGCCACAATCATTTCAATATACGGGATGCGGACCTATTTGAGCCCACCATGCTATACGATCTAACCAACTTCCATCGCGTGCTCATCACCCTCTCCAAGCTGTCGCAGTGTCGCAAGGTGCAGCAAATGCATCCGGAGCTGCTGTAAGTGCCACAGCTGTGCGCTCCGACTGCAATGGGGCGTGTGATGCAGTTTTTTAGTTAGTTGCTTTTTTTTTTTTTTTTTTGGGTCAAATTGGATGAGCTCATGGCTCGCACACTGCTATCACACAGCCCCATTGCCGCGCCATATGCAAAGGTGCCAATTAGCTCTAAACAAATTGTGTTTTTGTAATTTTACAGCGGCTTCAATCTGCAGCTGTCGCCCAGCGAGCGTTCCCATTCGGATGAGGCCATCTATAAGGATTTGCATTCCACGTAAGTGTTTATACGTTTCTAGTTAGACACAAGCGTGAGCATTGCGTGTAATCTTTAGTGCGTGCTTTCCCCGCCTTTCCAAACCGCCCCCAAACCATGCCTCCTGCCATTCTTTAGCCAATCCAATTGAAATGTTCTGTTTGCATTTCCTGTTTGAGATGTTTGCTCGGGCGCTGTCTCATTATGCGCTCGCGTGGCCGACAGTGTCCCGATGCCAGACCACAGACCCGAGACCCGCTTAAGCCCCTGTCTGCCTGCTTATCAGCAACAACACAACAACAACATCAACACCAACACCAACATCAACAACAACAACAACAGCAGTAACAAAATCAACAAATATCCATGTCCAAGCTTTATCTAACGCTGTTTCTCTCTCTCTCTCTCTTTCCCACTCTCTCTCTCTCTCTCTCTCTCCTATTTTTCTTTCCGGCTGTCTGTTCCGTACTCTCTCCTTCTCATTCCCCCTGCAATACATTGTCTTTTTGCTGCCCCAAAAATGTTCACCATATTGTCGCCTAACACTCCCATGTCTTGGCTCTGTGTGTGTCTGTGTGTGTGTGTGTGTTTGTGTGTGTGTGTCACAATGCCCCCCGCACCCAACCACGCCTGCACATACCCTCAACCGGCAGCAATGAATTTAAGGCAACTAGAAGCATCGATGCCACCGGATCTTCATCCTCGGATTACTACGAGCGCACCTCACAGAGCGGTTCGCTCTCGGTGGAGGACGAGAATAGCGATATAACCATAGAGAATGGCACCGAGGACATTGACGACTATATCGAGGATTCGCTGTCAAACATGTGTGATACAACGATCGACAATGATGCCGCTGGCATCGTTGACATCAATCAATCCGTCCAGGGGCAGCTGCGCGCTCTCTCCCTAGACCTTAACCTGAGCGTGGCCGGCAACGGTGGCTTTGATTGTGTCACGCCGACACCACAAATGGATGCACCCAAGGCGAGCACATCCGCAGCAGCAGCAGCCGCGGCAGCGGCAGCGTCAGCGTCAGCAGCAACAGCTGCCCTCGAGAAGCAACATCATGCGTCCACCAGCTCCTCATCATCATCGCTATTTGTCAGCGAGAGCCAACGATTGCAGCGAGCCGCCGCTGCCGTCTACAACTACCGATCCTCGGTGCTGATGTCCACAGAGCACGAGTACGCGTACATCAACGATATCTACAGCGAAGATGACGAGAAGGTCTATGAGGATCTCTGCTACGTAACGTTCCAGTCAAAGGTCAAACCAGAGGTGTGCTGCCTTCAAACTCCATTATACGTTCTCTGTAAAATCAAACACCACCAAACCACAATCCGAACAACAGCCAAACGCTTGTTTGTACTTGCAACCTTGACTCTACTCGTATGTATGTATGCTGCAACTGGCTAAACTGCTTCACAGCTGCCCCAGCACCACTCTCACAGCTATCACTAGTGGCTATACTTAATCCACACACACCCACGTACACCCAATCCACTTTCCCGCCTCACATCTCTCACCTTTCACGACATGCTATCGCACCAATCAGCCACCTGCACTGCAACTCATGCGTTTCTATGTCGGATTATGTCTGTGCATTCTTTGTTTGTATTTGCTTTCTGTTTTGTTATCTCTCTCTCTCTCTCTCTTTCTTTCTCTCTCTCTCTATCACTCTCCTTACCTCCCTCCCGTTGTAAGCTCCACATTCCGAACAGACACCTGAAGTGCGCGTCGCCCACATACCATAAAATGCAATGCCAATTGGACAAACGGAAATGGCAACAATATTTTGTTGTTTTTTTTTTTTTTACTTTTTAATCGTAACCGTTGTCTGACAAAACTGACAAATTCGCCAATCCCATTAGTTTCGGCTTATTGTATTATGGCGCGATATATGCCAGACACGATCTACTGATTCATGCGGGCGATGCAGACATGCAGACGGATAGAACCACAACAAACTAACGCAAACAGATATCGATCCAAACTTTTTGGGGCCTTTTGTTAGCCAACTCTTCAGATAACAGCTGAAACAAATGGGTATCTCCAAAGCAAGCATGTTTTCATAATACGTTCCTATCTGCATTATCTATGCACCTGGCTATGCCAATCCGATTGAGTACTGTGTGCGCAGCTCTCATCAGTTCGTAAATGGTTTGATTAAAGTGCAAATTTGGAATTTGGATTTGATATTGCAAAGGAAATCCCAAAGTTGCCGCTCAAGCTCCCCCATCTGAATATTTGAATATATATATTTTTGATAGCCCCACTCAATTTCAGAATTTTTCGATTAAATTAAACATTTTCGATTCAGTTCAGATCCAGAACCATTGTAAGGGCTTTCCAGATCAGACATGTTGGAACTAAGTTCTATATTTTTATAATATTAAACGGAGATTTTTACGTGTCCAATGTAAACTCAGCACAAGTCATGCGCTTCGCCTTTGCCGAAGATGTTTCTTCAGATAAGACGCCTTTTTCAAACCGAATGACGTTTATATTTTCAACACGTTTTTAATTACACAGATATATGTATATATATATATATATTAGGTAGCCACCATGAGGTTGCCTTATATAGAACAAATTAAAGCCCTAATACATATCATATTTCATGGGCCCAGCGCACGACTCGATCATGCGGGTAACTAAAGTCAGGAATTCAGATTCAAATTACATTCTAGATTATTAATTTTCTTTTATAATGTTATAGGCCTTGGCAGCCAGTGCGCTTGCTTAAAAGTTAGCTTGTTGCTTCAAAAAACTATATTAATGAAATATAATTTTAAGTGATCAGACATCATTCAATTGCAAGCTACTTTTAAACTGTGCCAATCGTCTGATCAAATATATATAGCATATTATACATGTAAACGAGATAGAATAGCATTTGTTTATGTGGGTAACATTGTAATAGTCAATAATTTAATCAACTTTCCAAAATCTAATTTCGCTTTTGCTTTCTGCTGTTTTCAATCCGTTGCCGATAATTACATATATATATATAACTTTTGTATATATATATTTTCATTTTTTGATAGTATGTTCGTGTGTGTTATTTTTTTATTTGCCTTTCAATAACAATACGCGAGTATCTATAATAATTCTTGATGATCTTAGGGAGATCATATTTTGAACTATCTAGAGCTTATAGCGTTTCATGCTTTTCAAGTCTTTCTTTAAATACAGTTCATGTTTTTACCTGTCGTGCCTGTGTCTTGTGTTGTGTGTGTTTGCCTTACGAAAATAACAGCCAGGATCGTGTGTGTGTGTGTGGTGTGTGTGTGTGTGTGTATGTGCGTGTGTAAATAAAGCAATATATGATTCATTTTTTAAAAGGAACATGATGTTCAGCATCTTAAGCTTCCATCCAAACTTCTAACTTAGCCGCCTCATGGCTGGCCAATGTCATCCTCATCGGTGTTGTCGTCGTCGTCGTCGTTGTCATCATCGTCACAGCTGCTGTTGCAGTTGTAGTCAACGGTATTGTAGATGTTTCATCAGCAGCGGCGTCACATTCACGCCAGGCACCAGCTGCTCCAACAGCTGGCCGGCCACTTTGCAGAGGCCGCCGAGACGCAGCTCCATGCGATGCTCGTAGCGGCGGCGATGTCTGTAATATTTTTCCCTTTCGGTCAACGCCTTACGCTTTCTGTTTGATAACGGCCTGGCCGTCAGCGTTGCTGATCCTGACCAGCTTGACGACTTGGCTCGCTCGCCTTCGTCGAGCGGCACTGATCCAGATGCAGACTCGTAGTTAGCGGTTAACTGCTCCACAGCGGTTGTCTCGCATATGTCCGAAGCTGATTTCGCTGGCAAGGGCGAGCCCAAAATAGACTCCGCCTCCGATAAGTCGGACACCTCAACGGCCACCGGATCGGAGGGCTGTGAGCTCTCCTCTGAATCCGAGTCCGTGTATATGTCCGATGGATAGCTCTCGCCGTAGCGCCTATTTGACAGCTGTCGCACTTGCTTGCCAATTAGGATGGCATCACAGCTCTTGTCCAGCTCCTCGTGCTGCTGCTGCTGCTGCTGCTGCTGCTGCTCATCTGGCATAGCAAGTGCATAGTCGAGCTCCACATCGACCGCAGCCTCAACCGACTGCAATTGGCAACGCATATGTTTGCGAGCGCTGTTTGGCGCCGCTATCGCTGTACCAAAACTGTGATCATTGACAACGCCACGAATGGCCATATTGTTGTTGTGCGCGTGCTCCTGGACGTTGGGCTCCTTGAGCGCATACGAGTGCAGGTCGGTGGTCTTTTGGTTCATGTACGCGTGTATCTCCCCAAAGAACTCCCATTCCTCGTTGAGCACATCTATGCATTGCTTGTTCAGCGGCGTCGCCTGCATATTGGACTTTTGGACGCGATAGCGCTGAACCATGTTTAGCCACTGTTTGCGCAGCGCCCGTTCGCTGTAGTCGCCAATTTTGGCCATGTCCTTGAACTTTCTGCAACACACAGCCAACAACAGCCACGCACTCCATATGTATACATATTTGATATGAGGAAAAAACCATATGCACTTACTTCCATGGCTCCGCTTGCTTGGACGAGTATTTGGCGAACAAATCTTCTGCCTCGATGCGCTTTGTGACAAGCAGACGCTTCTCCTCCACAGACCCTGCAAATTTCGAGTGACAGCCTCCATATTGTTGAGCAAATGCATGCGCATTACTTACACTTTTTGGAGCCACTTTTTGCATAGTGTGATGATCCATTGCGCAGTTTGTGGCTGAAAATGTTTTCAACCGCACGTGCACAGCGAAATTAACGAACAAAAAAAAATGAATGGAAATTGGATGCTTGGCTGCTGCTGTTAGCTCTGCTGCTGCTGCTGCTGTTGTCCGTCTGCCCTGGTTCTGTTAGCTGTATGTTAAGTTAACAGGCTTCTGTTATTGGCAATGCTGGCGTGTTAGTCGTCTGTTGAATGATGAGGCATAATCTTTGCCTATCGACATATCGATAAACGCAAGTCTCAAGAAAATTATTGCCACACTTTATAGTCTTGCGCGCCAAATTAGTTTAATTAAAAAAAAAATTGTAATCTTTAATTTTGCTTAGAGTTTTGTTTTCGTTATTTGTTTTTTTGCTTTGATTTATTTTACTTTTGTTTTTGTATTTTTTTTTTTTTTTTCATTTAGTACCACCGACAATATTGCATGCAATGGAACCGTATATGATCACACCAACACAAAAGAAGAGGAGGTCTATCAAGATTTGTGCGCACTGCACACAGAACGAGTAGAGGCCAGGTAGTAATTTGGTTTAACTTTTGTACATTTCTTAAAGCCTGCCAAACAATGTTTAGCTATGCTTAGTTGCATGACTCTCTGTGACGAGGCTGCTGCCTAAGCTCAGCTCAGATTGACTAACTGCTGCACATCTCTTCCTGTTAATGTAGACCATCGGCGACCAGCTTTGAGCAGCGGGACTATGTCATACGCGAACTCATCGATACGGAATCCAATTATCTGGACGTGCTCAATGCACTCAAATCCAAGTTTATGCTACCTCTGGAACGACATCTCAATCAGGACGACGAACTGCGACTCATTTTTCCCCGCATACGGGTGAGCACGGAAACTGGGATACACCAACATCTACACACAAGCTAATATTTTGTTTGTATGCATTTCCAGGAACTAGCTGACATTCACACCAAGTTTTTAGAGAAGCTACGCGAATCGCTGGTGCCCAGCACAAAGCTTAAGATGGGTCAGGTATTTGAGTTTCGCGAACCATTCCTCATCTACGGCGAATACTGCTCCTGCCTGCTGAACGCCATTGATTACCTAGCCGATGTGTGCAAGAAAAACCAATAATAGACCAGCTGGTCCAGAAATGCGAACGCGAATACAACGTGGGCAAGCTGCAGCTGCGGGATATACTGTCGGTGCCCATGCAGCGCATACTCAAGTACCATCTGCTGCTGGACAAGCTGGTGAAGGAGACGTCGCCATTGCACGAGGATTACCGCTCGCTGGAACGGGCCAAGGATGCCATGATCGATGTGTCGCAGTATATTAACGAGGTTAAGCGCGATTCTGATCATCTTGTCATCATACAAAAGGTCAAGGACAGCATATTTGATTTGAATTTGCCGCCAAAACGGCAACGATCTGCTGCAATACGGCCGCCTGCTGCTCGACGGTGATCTGCACATCAAGGCCCACGAGGATCAGAAGACCAAGATGCGCTATGCGTTGTCTTTGACAATTCTGATACTGGTCAAGCCGCTGCACATTAAAACCGGCGACATGCAGTACACATATCGCGACTCGCACAACCTCGCCGATTATCGCGTGGAACAGAGCCATTCGCGGCGCACGCTCGGCCGGGATACGCGCTTCAGATATCAGCTGCTCTTGGCACGTAAATCCGCCAAGACGGCATTCACACTTTACTTGAAGTCGGAGCATGAGCGTGATAAGTGGCGCAAGGCGCTCACCGAAGCCATGTAAGTGTCATGCGAAGCTGCCATGCCATGAACTTTGAAATGAAACTTTCAATTGTTTTGCAGGGAAAGCCTCGATCCACCTGGCTGTCGCAATACGGATCACAAAATGGAAATCTACACCTTTGATGCGC